AAAGTTTACATACAAATGTCTACGTGTGTACATATGTATGTACATATGCATATATACAACGCTTAAGAACTTCTGGAATTTGATTCGTGCACAGGACATCGTTATATGGAAGTTTTTAATGGTTTTCTACCGACTCTTCATATCCAGCAGTAAAATACAATTTTGTATTTTATGGCTTTTCCCAAACTAGATATAACGATTAAAAACGTTTTTGCTCGGCATAAAAAATTCAATGATATTTTATGACATGGAACAAACATGGTTGTAAATAAATCAATCATACGCACCGTGTATGAATACATACATACATACATTAGTATTAAGATCAGCTTAAAAACAAGCATAAAGGCATAACAAATTTTTTGCCAATACCATATGAAAAGACAAACATTAAGACAAGTTCTTTGAAAAACAATAAAACAGAACAGATAGTTAAATAAAATTTGCAAATTTGCATCGTAGTATAGTTTAAAAACTTTCTATATTTCAACCAACATTAAGACAAGCTCTTTGAGAAACAATAAAACAGAACAGATAGTTAAATAAAATTTGCAAATTTGCATCGTAGTATAGTTTAAAAACTTTCTATATTTCAACCAACAAAGGTACATATATGCAAGAATAAGAATTAAGATGATTAGTTAGCTGATATATTTTTTAAACCGTTTTGAAATACATCAAAATACACATCTATTTGATACCCACTTCCTCTAACGTTACATTTCAATAAGAAATATTATTTCTACTAGCTCGTCACTATAAAAGAATTTCGTAAATTTAAAATCTGTTCTGATTGTTTTCAATATATATTTAATAATGCGGAACATGCGCAACCTACTGCCCAACAAAATATTATCTTTAAATAAATCCTCATGACTTGCAAAAAATAAATAAATAGAAAACAACCAATTCTTGAACTTAAAATGCACCAAAAGCAATAAACTAGTTTATTTAATATTTATTGTATTAAATATAAAAGTTTTTATATGTATTTACTTGTAGTATAGTAGACACACATTTATAAATTATATGAATAAATTAAAGTAAATACAGGCTATATATTTTAAAAATTGTGTATTCAGTCAACAATCAATTTGTTGAAGTTGGAATATGTTTTATATAATAATTATGGTGATTAGTTTACTGCTTTTATCTAACTAAACTATCACTTTCGCCCTTCAAATTACGCCGATATATTTTAATTTTGAATCTATCTTTTTATGGCTCTGCAACTGCAACTGCTTTTGCTTTGCCAAAAACCGGCAATTTAGTTATCTTGTGCTACCTGTTCACAGCGCTTAAAAACATTTGCATAAGTTGATGTACGACAAAGAAGGAGAGACTATTAACAGATAAAAATACCAATTTAATATAATAAGCACTTTAAATCATACACAAGGCATTAGATGTTAAAATAAACGAGCGACAATGGCTGAGCCCAAACACACACAAATTCCAACCTAAACGCCCAAAACTATGCAACAAATACCATAAAATATTCAATAGGTATAAAAGTGGCCAAAAAAGCCTGCCAAATGGAGCTTTTGTTCGTACACCCTTTTCATTTGTGATGCTTTGGGCAATGCCACAAACAAAAATGACAAAATTCACAGAACTAACCGCAAGACATGACAAAATATAGAGAAACAATTATTTTTTGCTGGCATACAAGAAAAAATGAATGAAAAACGCTCTATGCTAATTATTGCCATCAGTTTTAAAGTGAGAAAGAGAAAGCACGAAGTGCAAAGCACAACGCGTGCAAAGTCAAGAGAAAGCAATATGAGAAGAAGAAAAAATAACGAAAAACAGGAAAAGCCACATTTTCTTACACTTTCATTCACAACTGAGTTCCAAACACACAACTCTAGCTCGAAGGAGAGGAATAAAATTGAAAAAGCAGCAGGCAGTCGAAATATGAAGTAAACAACAAACAAAAGCACACAAACACACACATAGACCAAGCTAGCTATATGGCCATAGGCAACGATATCAAAGGCAAATACTAGGGGAAAAAAACACACATACGTGTGTGTGTGTGTGTGCGTGTGTGCGTGTGAGTGAGTTTGCGTGCTACTTGCAAGTAAAATTCAAATACAACCGACATGGTAATAAATATCCATATAAGCCACTTCAAAGTGAAAAGCAATAAGCCAAACTACCACATCTACTTACAGAGTGTCCTGGGTCGGCCCAAACATGCCCCGTCCCCATCATCCTTCACCTCTAACAGCACACACATGCATGGACGCTTGTGAACACATACATATGCTGAGTTGCAGGCAACTAAATAGCTTGGCATGTCAGGACGGGGAAAAAGCAAAGAGCGAAAGTGCCAAAGAGCTTTCGCAAAACAGTGCCGCGACAAACAAATACTTACATTTAGCTTGGTGTGAATGTGTCTGGGAAAAACCAAAAGCGTTCCACTTTTCTTTTTACCGTAAGGCGCGCAAATACGCCATTGGAGCGCCTTACCTGCCCACCTGGCCAAGTGAAAGTTGTATTGACACGCATACAAACACGAAAGCATGGACTCTCCCTTACACACTTACATACCCGCGAAGACACTAACACAAGCACACTTATTGGCTTACTTTTTATACTCACCGCATCATATTGCTAAAGTTTTAGTAACAATATTTCATCCCAGCAAGTTGCCGTTTTGCAATATATGCAGCTTTTGGCGTATACAAGTTGCAAGTGTTGATAAATATATTGGAAACTTCGTATACTTACTCTCTCGAGCATGTAGGTGTATAAAGAACAAATAGAGGGGCACAACTATGTTTCAAATCGAAAGTAATGCAATTGATTCGCAAACAAAATGCTTGCAAGTCAAATTTTTCATTTGTAAAAAACTGTTCATTAGCAGGAAAATAAAAACAATACATTTCCTGTTAATTTAAGGGCGGAAAAGTACTCTTTAATATTTGACAATAATATATTAATTGTAATTTTTTTTTAATTATTAGGTTTGAGTTATATTATCAAATTATAAACCCCACATCAATTTTAACCAAAGAAGAAAATACTTCTACTTTATGGAGCTTTCATTGTCTCTTTTTTGTATTAATCTTCATTTTTTTATCAATATTGATATTTATACATATGTCTTTAATTATTTTCTTTTGATATTTCTATTCTACTGATAAACTTTCTTAGGTAACAGCTTCATAATTAATTGTATTTTTTTTTAAATTACTAGGTTTGAGTTATACTATCAAATTTTAAACCCCACATCAATTTTAACCAAAAAAGAAAATACTTCTACAATATTCCAATTATATAATGAAAATGTTTCATGTAAGTTATGATAAATAAACAAAATAATTAAGAAAAATTAATTTAGTCTCTATGAAGCTTCAATTGTATATTTTTTGAATTAATCTTAATTTGTTTTTCAATATTGATATTTATAGATATATCTTTATTTCTTTTCTTTTGATATTTATATTCTAGTGATAAATTTCTTAGATAACAGCTTCATAATAATTTTTAGCAAATAAATGCAATTAATAAATTATACATTTCTACAAACATTTTTAATTTTTAATACATGTATGTAATAAATAACATATTTTGAAATTGAAGCAACTATGCACGGTTTTAAGAAGTTTATTTTTTTTTAAATATTTTTCCATCAAATATTAAAGCAATGACAAATAGTTTATCAGTAACAGCAGGTACTGCTTTAATCCATTTTTATGTTTTTCTGCAATATAATTATTTGGTATTTTCCATTAATGCTCGTTACCGTTAAGAGATGAGTAAACAGCACCATAACTGCGCATTCATTCATAAGCACTTACCCACAAAAGCATTCTACCAACCACACACCCATCGGTACACAAACACACTCATGGTAGTACTCTCGCAAAATTTTCGCGCGCATTTTATGCCGAATGCCTTGTTTATTCATCTGCAGCGCCACACAGCGGCCGATGACGGAACTAGCAGGCAAACAAACACAACTACCATACTAGCATAACAAACATTACCAATACTAATGCACAAACAACGGCTACAACTACATACACGTACATATGTATGTGTTAGCACAACAGCAATGGCAACGGCAACAACAAAAAATGGCAGCTAATGGCCGACGTTTTGAGATTGGCGGCGCTGATTTGGCCAAAACAATATATAAATATATGCATGAATGTTGGCAAGTGGAGTCGCATGAAGTTGGGCGCTGAGTTGGCAATTTGAATATATTTTATATACACGATATATGGATGAGAGTGTGTACGTGTGTGTGTGTATGTGTGTGTGTGTGAGTGTGCTATATACCTGGTCAGTTGGAACTTAGCGTAACCGTAACCGTAGCATGTCAGAGCCTAAGATTCTTGTTGAATTTTTCAGTCGTTGCGCGAACGCCAAAGAAACCAAAACGAAACTGCCGAGCTACGCAAATATTCGCGCTCAGCTAAACTACGAACTATGCACACCCCATTCTAGCTGGTGCTGACAGCGCGACTAACCGATCGACCAACCGACCTACTCTTGGCTGGGCTGGCATTGCATAAGTATAAGTACTGAAGTACCAAAGTGCAGAAGTGCAACGTGCTCAGTGCCTTGAACTGCAACTGACTGTGACTGTGACTGTGCCTGGGCTGGCCTGCAGTCAAGGCCTGCGTAAAATAAGAGTGCAAAATTAACTCATTTAAAGTGCAATTAAACTTAAATGGTTTCAATTAACTCACTTAAAAAATGGCCAACGTTGAAATTATATAGAAAGACAGGCGGTGAGAGAGAGACAGACCGAAGAGTGGCGAACGAGACGAAATTACGTTTATTTTTTATTAACTTAATGCCATGCTATTGTTGTTGCTGTTCTGATTGCAAGTGCATTAAAGGCAAACATACAATAAAATAAAAATAATAAAGTTTAAAAAAGCTAAAGTGTGCAAACAAACGCCAGCGCCAACCAACACATACTTACACACACACACACAGACACACACTTAAACGCACACATCGACAAAACTTTCGCTTAAATGTACATCGACGAGGACAGCGAGGAAAGTTCGCCCTTTGTGATGCTCACATCGCCGACAAAGTCTTGGGTCAGTTCAGTGTAAACAATAGGGCCACTCACCATTGGCCGCCACAGCCGCCACACAAACACATTCACACACACACACACACCCACACATCTCTTAATTTCACATTTCATCTTTTTTCTGTGCTCTCCATTCTGTGTGCACAGTGGAAAAAAAAGAAGTTGGCAAAAAGTTTAAATGACTTTTGTTGTTTTTCTAAGTGTTTTTTAATGGTCTACGTGTGCTGGCTGTCGCTCTCGCAGCATCAGTTCCTCCCGCTGTTACTGCTGCTGTTGTTGTAGTTGTTGTTGTTGCAGCCTCTACTGCTTGGCCTGACATGGCGTATGCGCAATTTAATATATTTTACATGTCTCCACAGTTGGCTGCCACACTTCTTCTCTGCCACATTCTACAAATTTTTTCTGGCATATCAGCTAAAGTTTATGCCAACATCAGAATCTACATATCGGCTTGTGTGGATGCCTTCATGCCCTTCGAAAGCCGATTCCATATTGACATTTTTTGGGGCTAAGTAGAATTGATTTATGCATTCGATTGCATATATTTCGCTTAAGTTTTACATATCCTTTCTACAGATAAACAAAAGAATCGAAAATATGTTGTGCCGCTGTTTTTATTTGAATTTTGGAATATATCACACGAGAAAAAATTGTATTCTTGTTGTTTTTTTAAATCAAACTAAGTAAAAGTACTTACCTTCTTAAAAATATGATGTAATGTGTATGTGTTTTAAAAAGTTTTGACTCAAATACTAAGTATATTTAAGGAAAATTTTGGTTGACTCAGTTAAGGCTTCACAAAAAGGTACTGTGTTTAAATTGCTGCTATTAAAAGCTGATCGAATTTTTAATAATTAGCAAAGTTAAAAACTATCGCAATGTTTTTAGAAATTATAAATATAGGGCAGGTAGTTTTTATTTTAATGGTTGGTAAGCATTTCATTCTGTGTGACTGTAAGAACAATCTACAATATTTCTTGTTATTTAGCCAATTATTCAATTACTGTTTGTTCCTGAAATCTTATTATAATTTATATCTATACTAAAGACCACTTATTTATATTTAATTAATTTTTTTAAAACATAAATTCAATTAAAATTCAGCATAAGTAAGTTTATTCGATCCATAACTTGTTCCTACAATTTCCTATTTTTCTACACGGCAGATACATTCTAGATTTGCACCAACTAAATCAAAAATATTCCCAACAAGCTCCCCTTCTTTGATAGCGTATATAAAACATCGATGCAGCCCATCGTAATACTAATATGTTTTAAATTTAGCTTCAGTGCCCAACTTCATCTCTTGGATGGTATTAGTGTATGAAGCTATTGTAGAGCTTCATAACCAACAATAAACTAAACAAAAAAGTAATTCAATTAAACGTTAAGTATACGCCATGTTGCAGTAACCATGTTTAGCTATTACCAAAGCATTTTTCACACGCACGCACGCAAAAAGTCGCAAAAAACATTACGAGCACACTTCGAGTTTGAAAGCATTCCAGCAGCCCAAAACAACAAGCTTGAGGGTGCGCCCAGCATTAAAAGTTTGGTTTAAATTATGTTAAATGTTGGTTTAGCAAACTAGACATGAACCAAAGCAACAAAAAGACTGTTGGAAAAACACGCACAGACAGGCGTACTAAAAACACACTAATATATGCATATGTATGGGTTTATGAGCCGATATTAATGTCAATATATTCATGTATTTATGTGTTTACTCGATTTTTGTTTAACTATTTATTTGTTTACCCCAAAAAAACGAAAAGCCGAAAGCACTTCGAAATAATTTTCCATGTTGTCCTGCGGCAATAATAATCACTATTTGGGTAGGGGGCGGCAGCTTTGTGGGGCGTGGCAGCAAGCGCTTAGCTTAAATATGCGTAAAATGCGAATGAGTCTAGGCAAAGGGTCGCCAGCCCACAACCACCGCACCGCATTCATCCTGCGCCCTGTCTGATGTCCCCTTCGTGTCACATCACTGAATTTTCTGCGAGGCTGCACGTCAAATGAACGGCTTTGAAGTTGCGTTTAGATTCCGTCTTTGTATTGGTGGCTCGCCCAACTTGCTTAAAGTTTAATTGAGCGCGTAATTTAAGCTTTCCAGCAATTCCCCCTCCGCCAATGGCTAAGTGGGCGAAAGAGCTGCATAAGTATTAGTTAAAAGTGTGTAGATTTTAATGTGGCATTGGCTTTCTTTTATTCGGTGTTTTTTTCTTTTGTGAGAGGCGCCAGCGCACACACTTCCCACGCCTTCATCACTTAATAGGCTTGAAGCTTCCAATTTTCAAAAATACGAATATATGTTAAAACCCGGTTGAAGGGAAACTGTGTTTAAATAAATAAAAATTTATTTGCGAAAATATTGCAAGGAATAGGCAATTGCCGCAACATAATCACCCAAAATCAATGCTATGTATATGTGTTTGTGCTGGCGTTAACAATTTTAATTAAAATTACAGTTCAATGCGGGCACAAAATGAATTCAATTAAAAATTGGCACCCTGCAAAACTCAAAATTGTATAAGCAAGTAACAAAAAACAGGCCGCATTGGCAAAAAGTTTAATTGAAATGCATTCATGCATACATCCATACAGTGAGATGAGTACATACATACTTGTATATGCAATCAACATTGAAAAATATCTGAACTAATGTATAAAAACAGAGCTGAATTTATACATTTTTTTCATTTATTTCTAAAATTAACTGGCTTTTAAATAAAATCAGCCACAGTTGCTTGGCTTAATCTAATTTAAATATTTGGATTCGTTTATTTTATGCAAACCAATCAAATGAGGTTTTTTACTTATATAGAACAGCACAAATTTGTCTGATTACGTCATAAAATTTGTAATTTCCATTAAACTAAGTATTAATATAACAAGTTACTTGTAGTGTAGATTTGATTTCAATTTTGTCAATCAGGCTGCAAAATCATAAGCAAAACTAAATAAACAAAAAGGCAATATAAAATCAACTCGAAAGCTGATTTAAATATGAATATGTGTGAGCTGTTGTTGACTGAGAAAATTCTTGCCACTTATTGCTTAGATTTAATTCAGCAAGTCAATAAAAACAATATAGTATTCATTCTACCAACTGATTTTTCGAATTGATGGAGTAACGCAAATTTATTGAAAACAAAAACGATTTTGTAAGTATCCTTATTTTCCTTATTTTATTTTATTTCTAGTTTGGGGCGGGGGATTTGTCACTACTATAAATTTCTATTTAGTTCAAATAATGAATGAATGATGGTGAAAGAACAGCTTAAAAAGTTGAAATTCTGGTTACTTCCTACTACGGAAGCGTTCATCTTTGGATGATCGCAATTCCTATATCTATCTAAGCAGGACAAGGCATCCTTTTTTGTTACAATAACATTTCAATTGAGCATACACTTCAAAAGTTTTGTTAAATTATATATCAATAATAGTTATTGAGAATTATGATTTGATCGACACCTAATAAAGTTAAACAAAGAAAGGAAGGGTGTACAAGTTTTTCACTTAAATAGTTATTTAATAAAACCCGATTTGGCATTGGTAACTAAAGAATAATCACAATTTAACTACAAATGTTCTTCTTGCAGCCACCATAAGCCAATTTTGTACAGTAAATTTTGTACAGTAAATTGGTATGTTTCAACTCTCATACGTGTAAATAAATAAAGTAAATAAAATGTTTGCATATCTTCTTATCGAACTGCTGTTTCTTTCATTAGGCATTAAGTCAGTTGAAATTTAGGCAAACGACATGTTTCTTTTGCGTTTAATTTAATTTTCGTCCCATATGTAAACTTAATAAATTTCTATTTATCAATGCACATACGTATTTGATTAAAAATCCAATCCAATATTTCAATAATATAAATAAAATCCAGCAAATTTCGGTTGAATTCGTTAAGTTATTTTTCAAATACATACAAAAAAATCGTTTTGCAAATATTTAACACAATATCCTTGCACAAAACAAAAACATTTCTAAAGTAAATTAAAAGAAAAAGTCATTGAACAATGTATGCAAAATCAAAAATGATATCAAACCAAATATTCATATGTTCTCGTATATACGTATTTATTTAAATTTCCCATTGAAGTGCCACGCATTTTTTCCTGTTTTTCCTGTTGGCAAACACGAACGTACGTTGCAAAAGTGCGACCTTTTTCGGCCCAATTGAAATTTATTCATATCCCTATGGGTCTATGCATTCGAGCGCATACATCCATACATATGTATGTTTGTATGAATGTGGGAGGATTTGTATGTTTGGGGTGAAAAAAATGCATATGTTTATTATTATGTTTTCACGGAATTTTTAATTGATTTTATAGTTGTACGTTGTAGGACTAACGACCATTATGAGCAACTGTTGAGAGTTCAGTACAAGCCTGCCCATATATGCGTGCTTATGTGTGTGTTTATGAGCGTGTGTGTGTGTGTGTGTGTGTCCGTTTGCTCCCTTGCAGCTGTCAATGCTAGCGCACACATATGCATTGACGCATATCGCTTGAGCCTTTGCAATTTTATATAAAAATGAAAATAAAACTGTACAATTATTTTTTTACTATATACTGAAAATTGCATACCCTTCTCACCTTCATTTGCTGACTTCACTTAAAACAGATTTTTCTTCCTTTTAAAGGAATGCATTTGTGAGTAAAAAGGGGTTATATATATTTTAAAGCAATCAATCCATCACATCACCTTTCACAATGAAAACTTTTCACCATCTTTTTAAGAGCTTATTTCGAATTTCAAAAAAAGTACTGCACAAATTTATCAAAAATAATCATTTTTCTTTTTTTTATCAGAGTATTAATCTGATAAAAACGTTTGTTTTTAACAAAAACAACAACTCCTGTATTGCACAAATTTACTTGACAAATGTTGAGAAATGCTCGAGATCCAGCTTAGTGATTTTTGTAGAAAGAACGTTTTATTAATATGATTTAAATTAAGAAACTATGCAGAATGCAGCAATGATTCCAGTGCTAACTTAACTAGGGCGGTAAAAGACACAAATACTGAATTGAATAGCTACTATCGGCAACAAATAAATCTCCTTTATGATTGCCTTTACATGTATATAGAAGAACGACATAATTCCATATCTCAAAACATCCCTTTTTGGATGTGTGTTATTATCGTTTAATTAATATGATTTAAGAACAACATATTTCCAAAAAGTAGGTTTCAAAACATACCATTTTCGTTGTGTGCTATTATTTGATAACAAGCATCAGTCTAACTTAACTAGGGCGGCAAAAGACACAAATACTGAATTGATTACTAATAGTTACTATCGGCAACAAATAAATCTCCTTTATGATTGCATTTAGAATTGCAAAAGAGCGACACATTTCCATATCTCAAAACATCCCTTTTTGTGTGTTATTATCGTTTAATTAATATGATTTGAGAACAACGTATTTCCAAAAAGTAGATTTGAATGTGTGTTATTATTTACAAACAAGCATCAAAATAGGAATGTTTTGAAATCTACTCTACACTCGTGTTACAATCATTGCGAGAATCATATGATACTCGTTGTGGTTGCATAAAAATAGAGCATGTTGGCGCGCACAAAAACCATTTGCACACCAACGCACTCACACACTTACACAGCCTCACGTATGAGCATTTTTGCATTTTGTTGAATTTCAATTAAAAACCTTGATTGTAACCTTCTGCACACGCTGCGACCGCTCCGACTATCTACATAGCCGTTATACATATGCATTTGCAAATACATATATAAATATATGTATGTATCTATGTATATGAGTGTGACGGTAGCGAGTGACGTACAGTCAGAGCCCGGCAATATTAGGGTCAGATCGGTCGACCTGTCGTTTTGGTCGCTTGTTCGCTTGGTCGTCATCACAAAGCAATGTAAAATGTCGGTTGAAGAATTGTGTGTTAAAAACGAATTTGCATTATTCTCTTCCGTTTCCTTGCTCGTTTCTTTGCCGCACCTGCCAGTGTCCGTGCTCAGGCCCGTTTCACAAATAAAATTATACGCTTTTTCTGCCAACAAACAGGAGGAAAACAGCCTGCTCGACTCTACCTTCCTGCAAATGAAAAACGACTGCAGCAGTGGCAGCAAAAGAAATTAAATTGAAAAGCTATCGAAGAACCAAATACGAATTAAAATTGAATTTTCACTCCCAGCCCAAAGAAGAAAAATGCGGAAAGAAAAAAGCACCCAGAAGCGCAACAAGACCAAAAACAATTAAAATTAAACAATTTATTTATTGTGAGTTATGGGGCAGCTGCTGAGGTTGGCATCGCAGACTTTGCCTGACAAGTCGTAAATTGCTTGGCTCTTGCAATGATTTTTCCAACGCAAAAAGGACAACGATATAATAAATATATATATGTGTACTCGTATATATGTATGTACACATAAATATGTCAATTGAATTTCAATCAGAGCCGAGCATGTATGTCCCCTCCTCTATAAATATGCCAAACAAATCACAATAATCACACAAATAAATATTTGTCAAGACGTTTGACAAACGAAACCACAGACTTGTATTGCTTCTGGCGCCTCTAGTTTTGTCCAGAGAAGATGTGGATATTTGCTCTCAGATATTTGTCTTCGAGGTGCTGAGCCTGTGTGCAGTATAGACTTCATTTTAAAATTTATAACTTGAAAATTGACCCAATTCAATTAATTTATGAATATAACAAAGGAAGGGAAAATTCAAGTCTAATAAAGTGCACGTACGTGCAGTTTTTCATTGACAATGAGGCAAGTGCTGGATTCACTCATGATTCTTATAATGAAAAACTGCTCTTTTCAACTTATGAATTTCCTTGAATAGATTTATGCACAAACGATGAAAACTGCTTACTAAATAAGTAAATTGACAGACGTCTCTCGATAAATGAGCTCAGCATTGCATGAAAAGTAAATATTCCCCATTATATATTGATATACATAGTAATCACTGATACAGTTTATAGATTCTGCATAATCTCCACTGTGCGAGATTGTGCTGTTTAAACTTATTTTTATAAAACAGATTAAAAATGGATTTATTGAATTACAACAACATATTTCATAAACTCTTCTTTATTCATTCAAAGTTATTTTTGATTTTTATTTTACTCACAAAATTGTTCGATTAAAAAACGCAAAAATTTGTTTAAGCATTTTAGACAATGGGTTCTCTTTTATTATAAAAAATAATATGGGTTGATTTGTTTGTTTAATGGAATTATTGTTATAAAGAAAGTTTATTTATTTATTTTTTTATATGTTATACTATACAACGTTATAGTTAAGCGTTAAGGTCTAATTAGGAAAAATCTATTCAATTTACAATTATGTCTAATAATCGCCTCCGAATCGATAGGGAAATTTTATTTGGAATTTTATTTTTAGCAAAGAATTTATAAAATTTTACGTAAATTGAATTTATAAACAAGTAGATTTGCTTTAAGAATGTTTTAAAATATTTTCAAACAAACGAAAAAAGTGACATCTTTTTTTAGACATTATCTTAAAACATTTTAAAATGCTGACCTAATTCAATTGTATATTGAGAGTATTAAGTGTTTGTGGCGCGAACACTAATTTATTGCGTCAATAAAAAGTTACTCTAATTGCATTTAAATACTTGTAATGCGTCCATGACATTCTCAAATATTGTGCACGCGCCATTTTCTAAAGGCCCTTGGCATTACGCGCCTCAATCCAAGTCAATACTAAAGACATAGTACAATTGAAAAACACCCCGATGGGCGGCCCTGACAAGCTTCGATTATCGGCACATGCGGCAATGCTTGGGCCATTTATAGGGCTTAGACACACAGACTGCCAATGATTTATCTGAGTCGAGGCACTCTAATCTCGTACAGGGAGCGACTAATCATTCAATGAGATAAACGCGAATGCCAATACTGACCCTGAGTTGCCGCCTGCCTTTCAAATTTTGGCCAGTTGCTTGGTGCAGAGCTCATTGGGCGGGTAGCAGTGGGATGGGGTTCCATAAAACAAACGCATTGTGCGAGGAGTAACAAATTTTGGATGGATTTCTTCGGCCCAACGAAAATGGCGCCAAAATGAAAATGAAATGGAGTTGTGCCAGTGTGTGTGTGTGTGTTTTTGTGTGCGTGTGTGTGTGTGTGTGTGCGACGACGTGTCTGCGTGTCCACGTTCATGGCCACGTTTTGTGCGTGCAGCAAAACAATTTAATTAATTCCAGATTTGAGGGAAAAGTTGCACGAAAAAACGTCCACCCACACAAACACACACACACACACACACTCACATAACTACTTACAGCAAATACAAACATACAGTATGTATATTTGTATGCACATACATACAAATCTGCATACCCACTTGAATTTACACGCATTTTCACAATTTGTTTGTGCGTTTCTTAATCCTCTACCACTTACTAACATTCAGCGTCTCTCTCTCTCTCTCTTCTGTCTTTCTTTCTCTATTTTTATCTCTCCACATACAGCCTGCCAGTTACGGTAAAAAGAACGGCATGTGGTACGCATCACCCGGGAATCAGGGCTGGGGCTCAAAGCCCGCCAGTCGCAAGCCTTCAATAATGGAAGCGGATTTGGGCACATTATCGACCACATCGGGCTCGATAAAGCGCAGCGCCGGCCGTGTGATACGCATCATCAATAATTTGGATCATTCCGTGCAGGTGAGTGCCGTGCATTTCGTAAACGAAACAACGAGCCAATGTCCAATATCCCATACATATCCGTATATAGTCCACCTTTCGAATATATACATATATATCATATTCATTGCTGGCATCCGCATCGCATCGCGGTCATCAGCGGTGCATCAGCGACGCAAATTGTGTCAGGACATGGTGGGGTGGTTCCTGAAGTAGAATCCGAAACAGTGGAACTCAACGCCTGATGCGGTTTTCGTCGTTACTGAAATTTTCATTTTCGCATTTTGTTCGCCATTTGCATTTGTTTATCCATCGGTAGGCGCGATGAAAATGTTTTAATTGCTGCGATTAAAGTGCGTGCCGCGTGAAATATTTTGTGTAAATTTGTTTGACTAATAAGTCGTGTTTGGTTATTTCATTAGAGGCTGGCTGAATATACATACATATGCATATACACATGCGCGTACATACATATACATATACATACATATGTATGTATATATGCACAGAATCCAGTTGTTGGTACACCTGCAGCAATGGAATTATTTATTGAAGTTCTATGCACCTCTATTCATGTGAAACAGCGAGTGGGATATTGAAAGCTTTCAAAACAATAAACCTTTAAGGATAAGGATCTATGTATGTGTTATTCTCATTTATACTTTATTCAGCAACCACTGATATTTAAGTTCTTCGCTGCGAAAGTACTTTCTACTTTCGTGTTTCTAATTTGCAAACACATAGTACATAATACATCAGTTCAAAAATGTATAAAATTTTACAAAATGAGCACAGATCTCTCTTACAAATGACTTTCCTTGAAACCATTTCAATTAAACTTTCCATGAATTGTGAAAAGACTACCTGCAATATATAAATAGCAACTTTTTTACTCATTGGAGCCAAATCGTCTGGCTGTTTGACAAGCCTTCGATAATTGCATACATTTTGAAAGCAATCTTAATAATTAGGCAAATAATAAATAATTGCAATTTTGGTTAAAGTTTTTTGCCTAAATGTTATTAAAATTCTTGTAGAGGTCTTGTAGAAACTCTCCCCTTTTTAAATTAAAAAAATTTGTTAATACTATCATATCGACATTAATCAGATTTTCTTTACTATTTCAAAAGTTATTTTGTAATTCTATTATTCTTGACTTATCTAGTCACTTTTTAAGTTAAATGAATAATTTAATGCCGTACTTCAATTCCCCTAACGGGTCGGAGGCATTAGTAGACGTTATTGTATAGTTTTTCTTAGGCTTTCTTATCTATTAAGTTGAAATTGTAAACTTGTATTATTAAATATCTTTATTTTATTTTCAAATATTATATGTTAATATAAGTCATAGTTTTTGTATATATATCGACAGCACTGTTCGTTGATTTACTATATAAATAAAATAAAATAGGTAAATTCCTTTTATTGAATAAATAGCTACGCCAAAAGTTTTACAGTAATTAGCAAATTTCAAAAATTTAACCGAAACATAAACTCTAAATTTTAAAAATTGGCTTTTATCGTCTATCATTCGGCAAAGATAGAACGAGGTTATTATTTATTTACCATTACAATTTGTAATTATATATTACGTGATTTAATTGAGACCCTTAATAGTATAACGACATTGTATGCAACTACACACCCTCTACATACATTTAGTAAATGTGCTGACCCTCTGAAAACATGCCACGTCCTAGAGCCCCACCTACACACTCGATTCAATATTCATATGTCCGCACTAATTGTACTGAGTCATCCCAAAAGAATAGTGTATCTGCAAAAAAAAAGGATTGACCTCGCCCTTAGCAAACTAATTTTTACCTTTTTGGTCAGGCACTGGAAGGATGCATAGTTAAATAGCAGCAGCAACTGCGCCCAGTATAAATTACTCATGAAAAGTGTAACGGGAGCGAGAGAAGAAAAAAGGTGCGGCTTTAAAATGCATGAGTGCCGTCCCAGCCGGCCCTATTCGAACTTAAACGCCCACAATATTCAACGCTGGCATGTACAATATTTGATTCATAAAACGGCACGCGGCGCAATTGAGTTGCACTTAGCAAAATTACCATAAAACGTAGTTTGCCGTTACTACGACGACCCAGAGCTCTGGCGCCTCGCATGCCAATTCATATTTTGAAGGCATTTGGGTAATAATCGAAGAAATTATAGTGAGCAGTTTTTCTCTAGGCGGCAAGAGTACCGAAGAGGGAAATGTTTATATTCACACACACACTCCAACATTTAAGTATATATGCATGTTTATTTCGATTTAACTGACATTCACACCTGCATAACCATGGACTGGCGCTGGCTCGACTCTAGAGCGCTGCACGTGCTCCACTTTACTTTGTTTCGCTCTGTATACATACCCTCTGTTAAAAGTTGAGAGGTATATTGCAAGTATTTTGTAAGTGAGTCTTCAAAGGAGAATAGCAACAGAGGAATATATATATATATATACGACAGGCGCAGAGCTGGGTGTTGAAGCTCTGGCTAGGTCTGCCTCTCTAACCAAGAGCTAGGTCTGCCTTAACTTAACACAATAGATTTATATCAACAATGTTTTTACTTACTTGCAAAAATGTTAGCACCAGCGAGCCTATTACAGATCCATTAACTGTTTAATATGCAGTTCAATTAGTTATTAGCTCTTAATAATTAAATTTCAATTAGGCACTTTTATTGGCATCTTTTTTGGGTTTTGAATCCGAATATTTTGTGTTTAGCATTGATTTTATTGCTATTGATTAACCGGCCGCTCGCTGTAAACCTATCAATATTACCGAAAAGTTTGACTTTACTTGTAACATTATAAAAGAACACATTTTTATAGAATTAATTTTCGCCTTCCAATTGCTTTCAGTCTGCTGTTTTTATAAAATTGATGAACAAACCTCTTAAATCAACTTCAGTCCCAATTCAGTAGCATACTTGCCTTTATCATATTTCTTAATCAAGAGCAAATAATAAAGCTAAGTAGCACTACGCATATGCTGAAGTTATCCAAAACAAAAATTCAAAAACTTTCACTTGATTTAATATTTGAATAATTGCTTTAAAATTTGCCTCTATATCGTGGCATATAAAATAATATAAAAATAAATTAATGTCAATGGTAATTGACTTTACAAATAATTCTTATGAAATCCAACAAAAACTTATTATTACTTTTGAATGTCGATAGTAAGGAATGCGAAACTCCATAATTGTATTAGGAAACATCTTTCTTGTTGACAGAAACTCAGAGATATATAGATATGGTACAGGGCACTCCATAGTCGTACTTTTTTAACTATGAAGTATTCGCCATTTCGTTTTCTCGTGTGTCGGAAGTTTCCAAATTGACCGTGGCTTCAATTTTGTTTTTGTACTCGTATAATGTATAATGTATGTATGTATTGTATGTATGTACATGTGGCACATAAAGCACAAATTGCAGACAATTGATTTTTCATATGATGATTGCTGCCTGTCGTTTTATTTGTTGTTGGCGTGCTGTGGCAGATGTAGGCAAAGGTTAATTGCGCATTTGTAGTAAACGGTGTTTCACATATTTATGTACGAATATATATTTTCATTGTGCCCTTTGCGGTCATCTTGTTGGCAGGTGTGAAATTTTCCAAACGCCCACATGCACGCTTTTGAATGTCAAAGTGAAGTGTGCAGCACACTTGAACTTTCTGACCCAAAGCCTCGCATCTAAAACACACAGATACTCGTATCCGTTCATAAAGTGCTAAATAAGTATCAATTATTCGCACCTGAAAGTATGCTATAAAAATTTAATATACGCAATTTTTCCACTGTGGGTTTCCATTCGTTTTTTCTCTTCATTCCCATTTTTCCTTTTTTTTTGTCGCTCTACGCTTCATCATAAAAGTGCATTTTAATTGCGCGACCATTAAAATGAAATTCATCATGGCGTGAAAAACCAAAAAGACCCAAAACGAAAAACGCAATTCAGATAAAAAACGAATTTGAAAAATTGCAACCGCAACTAATGATGCTGTACAGCCCCAGCGGTCAATGGTATTCAATGCATTCAGCGGGAGTTGCGAGAGTAGTTAATGCATTAATGGGATCATAAGTAGTTTGCCGTACGAGTACTTATCCACGAAATAAATGATTAAATGAGCGATATTGATTTCTCATCGCCTCAGAAATATTAACCGGAATAGCACCGGAACAAGAGATTTTAAGCTGGAGTTTAAAAAATATACTTAATTTTATAGAAGAGAGCCTTGATAATAGAGCTAGTATTTAATATTTGAATAAACTCTAAATAATTTTTAATTACTTTCACGAGTATAACTATTAAGAAATTTATAAAACGTTTCGATTTGGAGCAGAACATTTATTTTATTTATTTTGACTTATTGAAGACAGTCTTGATAATAGAGCTAGTATTTAATATTTGAATAAAACTGTAATTAATTTTTAGTTACTTTCACGAGTATAAGTATTAAGAATTTTATAAAACGTTTCGGTTTGGAGCAGAATATTTATTTTCTATGGAACGTAAATGTAAATGCCTATTGGCTTTAGTTTATTTATTTTGGTGTTGCTCGCACATATGTTTTCTTGGTGTATTTTATTTAAAAATCAATGCCACCTTCCTTTTACTTGGCAGGCAGATGAGCTTTGCTGCATTTAAATTCTAGATAAGCTGCAAAGATATCTTAAGTTGAATTTGTGACGTATTTTTTGTAAAATATAATTACTCTTCCAATCTATTCGATTCAAAGTTTTATAATAAAATTCAATTATGTTTAATAATGTTTTTGAGGCACTAGTGACTGCCTCTTTTCTTCAAATGCAACTAATTTCGCTCATTTGATTTAAAAGTGCTTTCAATTATCTTCTTCCATTTACACATTGTACAACCCTCGATGCATAAAGCATGCTATATTATTTGTTAAATTCATATGAAAATCCTATGTGAAAAAATAACTTACACAGCTATGGGCATAAATATGCATATTATTTATGCACAAATCTCTTAATGACAGTTAGTCAGT